GGAATGATCTTACTGTGACTTTTATCAAAGTAATTTTATGGTAAGATAGTTGTATTTTTACTCAAGTTTCACTTTGTGGTATTGTACAAGAATCATTTTTTGTCACAGTCATACCTGCCATGTATCTCCAAGTGAAACATTAAAGTTTTTTTTATTCTATGCATCATTTTTTTCTGAAACTTATCTCCTTTTTGCTCTGATCCAGGATTATAACTTGTGCATTCAACTTTGCATTATTTTAATATTTTGGTTGTGTCTTCATATACATTAGTCATGGGTTCTGTCGTGTTGTATGTCTGCAGAGTGAATCATGTGATGCTGAACTGCTTTGTCCCGCTGAGAAAAGAGGAACTTTCATCTCTGCTTCCATCATGGATCTGTTTGTATTAGAGGCTCATTACTGAGCATCAGTTCAAAGAAATCTCATACTGACAATAAGATGTGCCTCTCAGACTTTGTCTGCTGTGGTTGGTGCAAAAACGGAAATTTCCTGACATAATGTCACACGGCGCACATTTGGCCTGTTATTTAGCTGTGACACCTCAGCTCCAAACAAAAGGGATCCAGATGTGCTGGGAGTAAGGAACTACAGGTGTTAATGAGAACTGGTGGTTGTTTTTTTTTTAGCTTTATGGAAGGACACAGGCAAGATTTAGACCTACACAAAAGTTGTGTAGTTGTTTGTTTCTAATGTCACTAATCACTAGAAAAAAAGAAATTATCTTGTACACCAGAAATGTTCTTTTTTCACTTTGAACTCCAAGGCAAAAACCAAAAGTTGGTTTAGAATTAATAAACAAAAACTGGATAGAGAGGGGCAGGGGCCTCCATTAGTGGCAAACGCCAAATCCTGCAAATTTTAATACCACTGTCTGTGCCAGCTTTGCACTAGTTACCCTTTGTGCATGTAGTTTTAGTAAACTGCATGCAACACATCCACTTTTAGTACTATTTTTTTCTGCAGTCATTTAACGCCAGTAATCTAGAATAGTGATAAATCAGCTCCAGAATGTTCATTTTAACTGCACTGCTCAAATAGGTCATTTTTATGACGTAATTCTACACGGTAAATGAGAAAATGAAGAACCAAGAAACATTTAGAAAAAAAATAACGATTAGATCCTCAGGAAATTGTCATGTTGAAATTTTTTTTTCTAGGCTACCCCTGTGGTTCCAGTCTGGCCACCCCTATACATATTGTCTGGCTCTGCCCCTGGAAACAACAACAAATTAGATTTACATAAAATAATCTGACAAAGCATGAGTAAAAACACAGTGTTATCTGCTGGGGACATTGATTGAGTCAGAATGTCTTGCCATGTTCACAGAGGTTTTTAAATTTTTCATTAGATTTGCAGAGAGTTTCAGATAAATTGCTTGATTTTTAAACATGTTTTTAGAAATGTTCTTCAACAATACGTTTTTTCAAAATAGTCACAAAGTTGCTGTGGGTAGAGCTGTAGCTTTAGATGTACCACTACTTTAGAAAGCAGATTTAAAATGTGACATGGAGTCCAGGACTTGAGTTTTAACTCGTGTTTGGATGAAGTCCTGTTTAATAACTAGCTGTATTAAAGTATTTCATTGGGTCAGGGTCCTGACATCAGATCTGATCTCGTGCCTGAAGGAAACTGGTTTTGCTCGACGTTTCATTTTAAACGATGATCATTTGTCTTCGTGTGACATTCATTCAGTTTCAGCAACTCAATGAGGCTTTCTGATGCACGGTAATTGCAGAGCACATTTTTTTACAAGAAGTCAATTTGAGATTTGCATGAAGAATGGCGGCGCGTCATGGTGGAAAGCTTTTTCCAATAAAGGGACCAGCGATTGAAACTGAGATACTTGTGAATGGCCGCGGCGTTGGCTCAGAAGGACCCGGTGCAATAAAAATGAAACCCAAATGGGAAAATAATCGAGGGTTTGCTTTGACACTGGCAGGGGAAACTTTATTTTCCCATCACAAAGATCAAAACTTATTTTAATTGTGAACAAAGGGAGACGAGTTTGTGCAACAGAGGCGATGAAGATTCTTTTGTTTTATCCGTCTCACAAAGCAACACCTCAGCAGCAGATAAATGTCTTTTTTTTACAGCAGGTAATAAATGTCAGGGTTATTAATTGATATTGAACATTCATTAGCTCACAATTACCTTGATTGCAGTGGTGCAGTGCAGGGAGACTAATGGGTTCCATGTTGGAAAATACTCTTTTCTGCAGTTTTACTGCCTGTGAACTCAATGTGTCAGTTTGAATTAAATATGTGAACAAAAGCACGTTCAGGTCAGTATTTTTTTGTATATGAAGACGATGAGCACATTCTCTAACCTAAGGAAAAGCAGAGATGCTGCGCTGCAACAACAGAAAAATCGCAACGATTTTTAACTTCCTGTTTTCATGTTGGCTCTGCTGCTTGATGCATCTTTATTTTTGTCTCTATCAACATGACGCAAACATATAAAAGCCTTTTGAGAACACTAACTGAAAGATTTAGCTTTTGTGTCGTGTTTGGACTGATTCATTTTCACCTGCCATTGAAAGTCAAAGGTATAGGTTATGATTTTTTTCCCTTTGGATGTGTGTGCATGCTCAAGTGTCTATTAGCAAAATATCACATGAACCACTGGACAGATTTTGACTAACTGTAAACAGTCAAACAGTAAACTGGAGGACAACAGAGATGCTTCATGGAAGAATCTCAGCTTAGCCTGTTAGCCTTCGTGCTAGCCCTCACACTATATTGCCTTATATGTATTAGCTCGCCGCTAGCACGACAAACAAGCTAAACTGAGGTGCTCCATCCATATTTTTAGTTGCAGGCTGAGTCATTTTTACGTTCCCCTCTCTGTCATGTGGATGGGGGACCTCAGTGACGAGAGGAGAATGTGTAGTGCTGAGCTAATACATATAGTATATGGTGATAGCATAGGGGCTTATGCTAAAGCTAACAGGCTAAGCTGAGGTTCTTCTTCCATGAAGCAGCTCTGTTGTCCTCCATCCATATTTTCAGTTCCAGGCTGAGTCATTTCTACCTTCTCCTCTCTGTCAACGCTCTCTGGTTTCATTTAAAAGAGTCGATCATCAGATATTGTCCAAGATTAACCTTCAGGGTGGATATAGCTCACTAGCAGCCTCGTGCCGATGACCTATCCACGTCATCATTTACCCAGAATGCTTTGCGTGTAAATAAAATGGCCCCGACCGTGTAATACATTTTTAAACTTTTACTTTAAAAATGATAAAAACTGAACACCCTACAGTATTTTTACAGTCTTTATTTTACAGTTAAAGTATATGTTTATCATATAAAGTCTAATGTTACAACTAATCAGGAATCTCTTTAAAATTAAGCAAATTCAAGATGGCCACCACAGCCTACTGGAATAAGAAAATATAAAAATGGTTGTAATTCAGTCAGTCTGAATGATTTTGTGTTTATAGTTTTGTAGGTGACAACTGTTTACGGCACACACTCTAAGTGTTGCACATTGCAGGAAATTGTTGCTTAAAACTTTAGCATCGACTAAACATTTCATCAGCAAAACGATGGATTTTCAGGAACTAATCAGTGGACATACGTGTACACATAAACTGGAAACAGTCCAACTCAAAATGGCCACCACAGCTAATCATTATCAGGTAAAATAAAATAGCTATAACTCAGTCAATTTTGCAGATACTCAGCTAAAAAGTTTTGATTCAGTAGCTAAGAGTCATACACATCACATACTCTGAAAATGACAAAATTGTGCATATCAATGTATTTTTTACAAGCTTTGATTCATGATTTATTTGACTCTTGAAAAGAGGTGAGTGAAATGCAGTCCTTTGAAAAATGCTCAAACTTGAATTTCTTGTATTGCAGAGTTAAAAGAATATGTAAACCTGGGGAGACTTTCAGCTGTGTAGACCAGATGAGCGCATCCATCCTCCAGCTGAAGTCACATTGATTCCTGTTAGGTGATGTGTTAAGACTGCACACTGGACCTACAGAACCACAATTACAGAGGGTACTAAAAGAGGAAGCTGGAACTGATGACCTAATACAGTCTGACCTGAAGACAGGACAGAATTAATCGTGCCTGGCCTAAAGTCATTTCGGTAAAATCTCTATTTCGTGTAATGGAGGCTGTTGGTTCCATCCGTGAATGTATGATGGAAGTCCTGAATCCACGCAGAGAGAAAGAGAGCGCTTTGGCTCCTAATTCTGCTCATTAATCACCTGTCTGACCAACATCCTCCAGAGAAAAGAGCCGCAGTTTTTTTTTCAGAGTAATTACAACTCTTGGAGGAATGCTGTGTGCTCGTAGGAGGCCATCCTCTTACAGTTTTATCTCCGAGCCAAAAACCTTCAACTTCCATCGCTCTGATCGCCGCTCTGCTGCTCTTCAGCTTTGTTGTCAGCAACCTCTCTCTTCTTTTTTTTCCTTTGATGTGGGATGAATAACCAATTGCCTCTAAAATCAATGGTCAGTCAGTGATGTTGACTGTGGGTCATCGGGCCTCAGAGGCATTTCTTCAGCTCTAACCACCCATATGTGATTAAATTATTTTTAGTTAAAAGCATATACTTTCCCGAGTAACATTACATTTAGCAAAGAGAAGAACCATCACTTTGTTGCATGACGTCGTTTCAGTGCTGGTTTGAGCCACTTCTCCAATTTACAGGAACATTTGGGAGTTGTCTTTAATTTCTCCACAGAAGCACTCAAAGAGTCTAAAAATAACAGGGAAAAGTGGCATATCCTTTTAAAGGCAGGACAGTGGCAATACACAGTCGCCCAGTGTGCGAGTTGTGTGTCGACGTCGCTTTGAAACATTCATGAACCTCCTCAGTGGATAGATGAAGCCTTTTTCCCAAGATTTTTTGTGTTAATCTACTGGTTGGTTTCAGAGAGAATGACAGAGCTTACATAAAACATATTCGTAGATGTGCCATCAGCAGCTCCTCAACAGGCTTAACGGCACTCTTCTAATGCTTCTTTTCTTTGCCTTTCCAGATGGAGATGATCCAAGAGCCTGATCCTGATGATGAGGGGACAAAAATAAGTGTAAGTAAAAAAAAGCATGTCATCCCAACTATCAGTACTGTGACCTACACTGGCAGAGATTCACACTGAGGAGAAACAACTGCAGCTGCTTTCCTGAAATAACCTCTAACCCAGCAGAGAAACGAGCTAATCAGTGGCAGCATGTTATTATTGTTCCCTCTCTGAGCTCATATGCCCGGTGCGGATCCAGTCCTATGGCAGTTGAAGAGTTCCTTTTCTTTGCTCATATACTAGGTTTCAATACAGGGGATATAAAAAGTCTCCCACTTGTGAAATTTCCTGCCTTTTTTGTGTGTGTTAAAAAGTAAAGCAATGATAAATCACTTTAAAAGCTTTTTTCACCTTTAAAGTGATGTACAGATGCAGATACATTTATTTGTACCCTTTTGTTAGAGAAAGAAAAACCTAAAATGTCACTGAAATAACTTGAAGCTTAAAAGTAACAAAAAGAGAGAGAAAAATACATAAAAATCTACTAAATAGGCAGTCGTTGCCAGTGGTTGGCACATTAACCTGCTAAAAACGGAACTAATGTTTTGTGGTTTTGCATTAATACTTTGAAATATTGATGGAGCCCATTATAAGATTTTTGGTAAATTCACTACTGCTAAAAATCATAAAATTCAGGTTACCACATCTTTACCATATTCAATAAAAATGTTATACATACACCAGCAACAAGAGCAGAGGATTCACCAGCCAGAGTGATGCCATCCTTGGTCCTAGGACAGTCACTTCCACCTTTTGAGTCTCCTCTTCGATTCAGACCAGGGGCCTCATGTACAAAGACTTGCATGGGTTTCTTACTGAAACCTGACGTACGGTCAAATCCAGAAAAAGGTGTACGCACAAAAAAATCCAGATGTATCAAACCGTGCGTACGTCTGAATCCACGCACATTGCTTTTGAACATCACAATTAACGTGGAACTGAGCGCAGGTAAGACACCTCCCCTGAACCGCCTTCATTAACATATGTTAAACAGATGCAAATTACTTCCTGCATGTGTGAAGAACAAGTTTGTTTGATCCCTGCATGATCAGAAATGATTTCTAGATTTAGGAAAATCATTAATTAAATATGATAAGAGTGAGAAAAAAATAATTAAGAATAGGAGTAAAATATGTTTGTCACGCAAAGAACAAGTGATTGTGTGTCAGTGTGTGTGTGTGTCTGTGTGTGTGTGTGTGTGCATGAAGCTGCTGTGGTGCTCAACTGGCATCCATCCATTCCGAGTCTGAAAATATTAACTTTGCACAGGAGTTTATTACCATATTTACTGTCAGCACAGAGAAACTCAGATGTTTGGTTTAACAGCTGAGTCTCTGTGCCTCTTAGTGGAGAGACTCCGCAAAGACTGTGCGCGCCTCTTGCTCTCCTACTTACAGCATTTTCACAAGTTGTAAAGTGCACTTCCACACGTCATTTTGGAGAAATCTACAAAAACGTAAATGCCAAGTATGAAACACCTCCACTGCCGGCGAGGGTGCATGCACTCCATAGCGCAACTATAACTCAGCCTTTAACCATTGTGCATGATTCGGCTTTGGGTGGACTGGACTGGCACAGTCCCGATCGGTCTGCCAGCTCCCTCTGGAAATCTGTGGAACCCCAGTTCAATCGCTGCTGCTGCACATGCGGCGCACAGCTCCTCGCTGTGCCACGCTCCAGAGTGCCGCAGTGTCAAACTGAAAAAGGATTGTTCCTGAAAACGGCTGATGAGCCAGTCGTCTTCGTGGATTACAAAACTCTGTTTATACAGCGGGTAAAATAAGAATTGAACACGTCACCATTTTTCTCAGTAAATATATTACTAGAGGTGCTAACGACGTGAAATTTTCACCAGTTGTCTGTAACAACCCAAGTGATCCATACATACAAAGAAATCAAACCATAAATGTCCAGAAATGAAGTTATTTGTAATAATGTGGAATGGCACAGGGAAAAAGTATTGAACACATGAACAAAGGGAGGTGTAAAAAGGCATGGAAAGCCAAGACACCAGCTGAACTCTCTCAGTAATTAGAAAGCAAGTCTGCCCCTTGTCAGTGCAAGTTAATATCAGCTGGTTCAGTCCCAGATGATGGCCAGGTATCACACAAGAACCATCTGATGATGGGTAAAAGTAAAGCGCTCTCTCAAGACCTTCACAACCTTATTGTTGCAAAGCATAATGATGGCATCGGTTACAGAAGAATGTCTAAACTTCTGAAGGTTCCAGTGAGCACTGTTGGGGCCATAATTCAGAAGTGGAAAGAACATCATTTCACCATAAACCGACCACGACCAGGTGCTCCTCGCAAGATTTCTGACAGAGGAGTGAAAAGAATTATCAGAAGAGTTGTCCAAGAGCCAAGGACCACTTGTGGAGAGCTTCAGAAAGACCTGGAATTAGCAGGTACGATTGTTTCAAAGAAAACAATAAGTAATGCACTGAACCACCATGGCCTGTATGCACGCTCACCACGCAAGACTCCACTGCTGAAGAAACAGCATGTTGAAGCTCCTTTAAAGTTTGCTGCACAACATTTAAACAAGCCCGTGTAATACTGGGAGAATATAGTCTGGTCAGATGAGACCAACATTGAACTGTTTGGATGCCAGAATACACATCATGTTTGGAGGTCAAATGGCACTGCACATCAGCCCAAAAACACCATACCAACAGTGAAGTTTGGAGGTGGGAACATCATGGTGTGGGGCTGTTTTTCAGCATATGGTACTGGCAAACTTCAAATAATTGAAGGAAGGATGAGTGGAAAAATGTACAGAGACATTCTTGATAAGAATCTGCTTCCATCTACCAGGATGATGAAGATGAAACGTGGCTGGACATTTCAGCAAGACAATGAGCCCAAACACAAAGCCAAGGAAACTCTCAGTTGGTTTCAGAGAAAGAAACTAAAGCTGCTGGAATGGCCCAGCCAATCACCTGACCTGAATCCAACAGAAAATCTATGGAAAGAACTAAAGATCAGAGTTCATAGAAGAGGTCCACGAAACCTTCAAGATTTGAAGACTGTTTGTGTGGAAGAATGGGCCAAAATCACACCTGAGCAATGCATGCCACTAGTTTCTCCATACAGGAGGCGTCTTGAAGCTGTTATTGACAACAAAGGCTTTTCTACAAAGTATTAGATAAATTTCAGTAAGCGTGTTCAATACTTTTTCTCTGTGCCATTCCACATTATTACAAATAACTTAATTTCTGGACATTTATGGTTTGATTTCTTTGTATGTATGGATCACTTGGGTTGTTACCGACATCTGGTGAAAATTTCACGTCATTAGCACCTCTAGTAATATATTTACTGAGAAAAATGTTGACGTGTTGAATACTTATTTTACCTGCTGTAAACAAATGCTCTGTCTGTTACACTATTTATTATATCCTCCAGTAAGGCTGAATCTGTTCCTGGTAAAGGTATTTTTGGCACAACTTTGCGCGTCCTTTATTTAACTGCATCCATGTGGATGTAATAATTGTTAATCATGTGATGGCATAATTGTTAATCATGTGTGTCTGGTGTGAACAATAATCATTTTCACATCATGAACAGTTTCTCAGAATCACCTCTAAGTGCCGCCAAATGGAACCAGAACCACAGAAATGTGCGTACACCAGCCCTGGAGTTGGCGTGGGGCTGCGCACATTTCCACATTCATTTCCATTTTGATACATCCAGAGTTTTGCATGGAAAATGGCGTAAGTAAGGTTTTTGTGCGTTGATACATGAGGCCCCTGATCTTCTGACGGTTTCAGTTTTCAATATACCCAGCATCCTTTGCAGCATGAATTCATTCAGCCACAGGCAGCATTTTATACATTTATTGCAAAATAAAAAAGTGAAACAATGATACACATCTTTACTTTAATTTCATGCCAAATTAATTAGTTTTTAGTGTTTATGTTAAAATATAAGGATTAAATTAGAAGAAACTCGATTTCAAAGACTGTAAAGGCTTGGTTACAGTTGTGATTTGTGTGTTGCATAGGGAGTGAGCACCCTGAGCAGCGGTGTAGTTGTTTATGCTTGAGGCTTACAGTGTTGTAGTACTCTCCAAAAGGACACGTGGCATTACACTTTATGATTTGTGAAAATGTTGTAAGTAAGAGAGCAAAAGATTGACAGACAAACAAACTATTTGAATGGTGCACGAGTCAACTATAAACCAAGCTTAATTTGTCAGTGTCTTTTCCCTCCTTCCCCTGTCTGCTTTTCTGGTTTCAGTTAGCAGTTGTAGCTCCGCCTCTTGGCTTAAAAGCAGCAAACTATTTTTTTTCTAAATTCACCACTATAAGAGATATTAACATTTTTTTCTGTGATCTATGAAGCATTTTGAGTTATGTTGACTTATGTTGTCACGTCAAACATTTACGTTTGGTTGGAAATCTGGGTTGAAGTTTAGTTATTGACTGTAAATCTGACAAACCATGATTGAGAGACCTGAAGCAGGAGAATAGAGAAGGGAACTGAACACTAGTGGGGGTGTTCAAGGAATAAATCCCAACTGTTGTTTCATACTGTACTGACTATCTCATGGTGGACTGGATATTAAGATGATAAATATTAGCATTTTAGCTTTAGCTGCCCTTAAATCATGATTTTTTTTTTTTTTAGCTTTTTATCAATAGCGGAACTAAGGAGCTGTTCAGGTGTTAAAGAAGCCCTAAACAGTGTGCCCACCGCTGGTCATTGCTTTCCAATTTTGTTTCAACAGAAATGTGAAAATAAATTAAAAAAAACAAACAAACAAACAAACAAACAAATAAATAAAAAAACACAGATGTTTAGTGTTTGTTCAGTTTCATAAACCCTAGTTTATCCACCTCAGAGCTACCTCACATCAGATGGACTGACTAAATACACCTCAAATGGATCTTACACATGCTGCTTCACCCCACATTTGGAGTTCCATCCAATTCAGCAACATCAAAGTTCTCTGACTCACTCTGGAAAAATCTTCCTAACTCCAAATCCCATCTTCAGGGAGGTGGATGATTGCGGGGTTATTATGTCCCCTTGGTAAGAGAGAACCTCCTAAACATCTTCTTCTCTGAAGCCAAGGTTGTGCAGTTTGGCCTCACAGGTGTGCAGCTACTGCAGGCTAAATTTAGAGATGTCAGATCAGACAAAAAAAAGTTTAAAATAACCCAAGGAAGATGTAAAGGCTCCTCTCAAAGTCACCCTGTAAAGTTCAAACCACTGAAGGCACTGCTCTTAATAAAGTCTGACAGTCTGGACTGGTTTCTCAGTTTCTCACTGATGTGTTGAAAACTGTGTTTAAACACTGAAAAGTTTCTGTACAGTCCTACTACAGCACATCTGTTCTATAGCTGGTTTATTTTGGCTTTCATTTCGTGACTATAGGCAGCATCATTGCATTTGTGCCTGACTGTCTGTTAGCGAAATAACTCTTGAACGTTTGAACAGATTTTATTGAAACTTTCAGAAACTAACCTTTGAAGTCAAGATAAACGGATATTTCCCAACACAAGCCAAAACAAAAATGATTATAACCCAGTCAATTGTACAGATATATAGTTAGAATTTGGAGTGGTGGTAGCTGAGAGTCATTCTCAACATGCTAACAGACTACACAAGGTCTTTGTTTAAAACTCTGACATGCAAGGCAACAGACACTATGTCCCCAAAGAATGTCTTTATATTGTTTTTTTTTCTTTAGGTTGCTGCTAATAATTGAAGAGACTTGTTTACACCTGATGCAGAAAGTGTTTTAACCCCTGACTTAAGCTGAACGTGTTGTGGTATGGAGGTGTCTGTTTGACTGTCTGTGGCTTGATAACCTTTTTACATAAAAATGTTAAACTGCACATTGGGACATCTCACTAGGGTTGGGCATAACCATATTGTGTGCAATTAATCGTCAGAAAAGCATTAATCGATTAATTTTTGGCACTTGACGATTAATAAAATTAATGCCACCAGGCAGACTAACCTCTTGGTGCTCCTCTCTGCTTCAAATATGACCAACATTAAAAAAAAAAGTTCTGTCATTTATTTATCCATCAACACAATTTAAAGTTTGATGTATAGCCTGAAGTCTGTAATTTTGACACAATTTAGAACAGATTTTTACAAAGAGCCAATTTTCTCCCTATAAATTGGTCATGTGACTAGGACATAAGGGTGTCCAGGGACTCCGGGGGATTAATCGTCAAATTAGTCATTATTGGCTAAATACCACAATTAATCGTGATTAATTTTTTGCCAATATTGCCCAACCCTACACCTCACAGGTCAAAGGGGATCCTTACTGATTTCAAGGACATGGGGGCAAAGGTCAAGGTTACAGGTCAAACACATTGTTCTACAAATTGTGCTTATCTGTTCATCCATAAGACAGTTAGGAAGTTGTCCATGGTATAACATTTAAGATAGAAAATGTCATCAAACTATGGATTCATTATTTTCACTACAGCGATCTTAAGTGGTACTTGTGAAGTCTGCTACTCTTCTCCCTGTCATGATCTTTCATTGAACTGTTTGACATCATTATCAGTGAAATTGACTTTTAAGCCCACCATAATCACATATATGTGCCTAATAAAGCCATTTAATCGGGATATTTATGAGAGGGAATTCATGCTTTGGATCTTTATTTGTCTGACAGTTTACTGATAGGTGTATTATTTGGCCGTACTCCTGTTTATTTTGACCCCCGCGTGCAGGTCATATTGTTTTTGTATTGCTTCTTTTCCTTTTTTTCAGTGATTTTTGCATGGAAACAGCTGCGCTGATCAACATGAAATTTGGCAGGAATGTAGATGTGTCCAACCTATACTGCACCAGCCAACGGTTTTATAATAGACCCCATATTTGAGGAAGGGGCTCCATCTAAAAGTGAGGTGTCTGGACCAACAAAAATATAACTCAAAAGCTAGTCAACATAAGAGGTTTTAACTCAGAAAATTATGCAACATAGGAGCTTCAGATATTTTAGTTGTTTACCTCTGATGAAGGGCTATCCATTGGGCCCACCAAGGATCACCCGCCACCCACTCCCACCCATAAAATAAATCTGTTCTGGTGAATTCTGAGTTCTGGTGCATTGGTGCTTTGTGTACATGAAGAGGTCATATATGCTAGGTATCTAGGTATGTTTTCTGTTTCTTGCTGATCTTCAAAGTGACAAAATACTTCCTCATATGTCTTCACAGAAAAATAAACTGACAGCTAAAGTAAGTGAAATAAAGAATGTCTGACAATATTTAGGCAAAGTCAAGATATAGATCCACTATATTAATGCAAGGACAGAGAAGGAACAGACTTTACATGAAGCTTTACTTCAGGGTCTTTGAATTTTAAGTAACAAAAAAAAAATGCTGCTAGTGAATGTTATTCTGCTTCATGTAAAAACAAGGCTGAGAGGAGAACGGTGCAAAAATGGTCCCACTGGCTCACCAGCAGGACCAGTGAGGCTGTCCTGATTAGCATGCAGGGCTGCAGGAGTGAGCTGCACAATGAGCCGAAAACACTCACTCATTCAGCTCTTGTGTAGAAATGCCGAAGCTTTACCAGAGAAAATCTTTTATAATGTTAAGAAAGGACACCCAGGTTTTATCTTTCAGACATGAAAGTCATCTGATCCTCAGCAGGTTTTAAATTAGGAGAATAGACTATTTTATTAGGAAAATTTGATTATTTAAAAGATTTCTTCCGTTGAAAGAATGCATAACGCCCGCTTCCTTTCAAACAAGACTTTCAAACTAAACTTTCAAACTGCCTGGGCCTTAAGGCAACCTAATGTATGTTGCTTTGTCTGTGGGAGGAAATCAGAGTACCCGGAGAAAAGCCAAGCAAGCATGAGGAGAACATGCAAACTCCGAACGGAAAGATTCCCTCTCCAAACAGAGGATCGAATCCAGTACCTTGTTGTTGTGAGGCCTCAGTTCTAACCAATATGTGCTGCCAAATTAATGAACGATTGTCTTGCAAAGAACTGGGCTCTAAATACATGTTGAGGATGATTCTCAGCCACCACCACATCACATTTTAGCTCAATATCTGTAAAAGTGACTGAGGGAAAGCCATTTTTGTGTTGGCTAATGTTGATCAACTTTGGTGAATAGGAGAGACTCAAAGTATGTGTTGGGAACGATGCACTGCTAGAACCACAAAACATTTTAGCACATCATGAAAGGATAATTAGAAAAAGGCTGAACAAGTCCAGCTTGTAGGGTTTCAGAAAAATATGTTAAAAAAGAAACATGGCAGAAACATGGTTTATAATTTTTTGTCTGAATAAACCACTAGTCTCCTGGAGTGTCTTTTAAACAGACGAGACCAAAATACAAGATTAAGCTAAAACTAATTGTTTTAAATCCTAAAGCTGAAAACGAGTATGTTAACGTTTATTTTCTGACTGTATATGATACTGCTAGAGTTGGACGGCATCTCACCTCACTGAGTCTCTTTCATCCATTTCACAGACAGTGAAGGTCCAGGGCAACGACATCTCACACAAACTGCAGATCTCCAGAGTCAGCAAGAACGACGAAGGACTGTACGAGTGCCGGGTGACACGAGCTAACTACGGCGAGATTGTGGAGTACAAAGCTCAAGCCTGGCTGAAGATCAACGCCACGGCCAGGCCTCGACGGCCACTGCCCCCTGCCAAGAAGAGCTCCCCGCTGCACCTGACAGACAAAAAGCCCAGAAAGTCCAGCTCAGCTCTGGGCCAGGACAACATGAGCTCAGACCAGAGGATGTCCTCCACATCCAGCTCTCACACAACCTCCAACACAGCTAAACACAACCCTGGCTCAGGTGAGTCCTTGGGGAGGGCTGGGAGCTACCTCGTGCTCTCTGCGTTGGTTTGGTTTGGTCTGCACTGGTGTTCTCAAAAAGGAATGTGATTTAAGAAATGAGGTTAGGGTTAAAAGTGATGAGATGTTCATTAAGTTTAAGGGACCAAATAAAAAAAACACCCAAAAATTGAAACAACAATGATCAAATATGGTTCTGCATGTTATTTGTGGGCTCACAGTAGAGACCAATTAACCCAGCCAACTGACCACCTGAGTACGATGTTGAAATAAGTTGAGT